TAGTATACTTTTTAATATTGATTTTTAATTGTAATATTGATATTCAGAAAATTATTGTCAAAGAAATAGTAATTATTTTAGACATTGGCTAAAAATATGAAGTTGTAATTTTGTATATTTCTCATGACTAAAGCCTTATTTCTATTTTATGTGTCTAAGATGCAAAGTGGAAGAATATTGATAAGATAAAGAAGTTATTAGTTAGTTAATAGCTTTTTTAGAAACAGCTAAGTTACTGTTAAACGATCCATTTATTCGAGTTATTCGAAGTATTAGCAATCCTTCAAAAATTATCCAATTCTCTGGTATATATTATTGTTTTTTTTTTAAAGCAAAATTTATATTAAACGTATAACTATTCCATATGATGTAATCTGGACATTTTTTTTCATTCTATGCTCACATATTTCTTAAAAATTCTGTAACCTTAAATTTATATATGTTTTCTTCTTTTAATTGGTTCAAATTTTCAACAACAAAAAAAATTGGACTGATAATTGGTAAATAAGAAAAAGTAAACTGGTAAATTTTTCTCTTATATATGTAACAACTTAATTATATTTTACTACATTGGATTGCCTTAATTTAACAAAATAACGAGGTATTTCTTTTTCCATTATTTTTCTCTTTTTTTTTTTTTTTTTAAATCAATTTCATTTGTTACATCTGCAATAATAAAACATTCCATTGATTTTTTTCTCTTGTTTTATATTTTGTAATCTGTTGTAATTTGGAATGTTTTTATGCTCATCTTTTCTCTTCAAAATTTATCAGATTTTTTCATGTTATTTTCTCATGGTTATTTGTCTTTTTTATTTCTTTAAAAAAAAAAGTTATTTACTTTACTGTTATACAATGTTTTCTATATATTTTCCAGCATTAGTGTTGTCCTTAAATAAAAAATGATAATATTTTAATTAAATTTGTTTATTAAAACACAATTCATCGAAACATATAATAGAACAAAAAAAAAAGATGAAAATATTAGATAATGAAAATACAATCTTTTATTTATTAATATTTCTAGCAACCAGAATTATTATAATCCTAATTGTCCCTTAATTTTTCTTCCCCTTTTTTTATTATTATTATTATTATTCAATCATTTCTTTTAGTTAGAAGATATCCATGTAAGTATGATGATACTTGTCATGACGATGATGATGGAGAGAGAGAGAGAGAGAGAGAGGGAGAGGGAGAGAGGACGAAAGCTTTTATATTGTTTACACAAAAACTTCTCAAGCAACAACAATCATCAGCTGAAGTTGTTGAGTGGAACGTGAAGTGTCACCATTTTTACCATTTCACATCTTTTCCAATCACATTTAAGTAATCTGATAGTTTTTTTTTTTTTCTCTCTCTCCACTAATTCTTACTTTTATCCTAACTCAGTAATATGATTTGATATTTCTCCTTATCCTTAATAAATATATATTTTTTAATCTTAAACATTAAATAATGATTAAATTATTGATCTGATTAATAAATTACTGTCATAAATTAATATTTATCATTGATTACTGATATAACTAATATTTCATCCTTCTATTTATATGTTTTTGAAAAAAAAAGTTTCATCTTTACATATTTATTTCCACTTAAAAAAAAGAAAAAAGAAACAAACAAACAAGAATAAAACAAAAAAGAAAACAAAACAAAACAAAACAAAACGCAATAATCATGAATGAATGATTGTTTAATTTTTGGCTTAACTGCTGATGTGTAGAAATCAATGAGGTCAATAATTTTTACAAGATTAACTTACTTGTCTCTAACAACTGAATCTGTAAAGTAATATGATATTGAATTGAGAAGTTCAACATACGATATTTTTATGATTTCCTAAATTTGGGATAATCAAATTTTAAACTAAATTTTAATTCATCATATTAATATTATTGTTATTAACTCCTTGGAAATTCTTTAAAAAATAAACAACTGCAGTACTTAACATAGAATAAGTGAAAAGAAACAAAAATTCTTTAAATTCAGACATTAATTGAAGTATACAATTGCTTAAATTAGTAATTTAATGCTACTAATTTTCCACAACTAATTTATTTCCTTTTTTTCAGCCTATTAAAAGAAGGTGAAAAAAAAGAGATTGTGATAAATAAAATGATAAATAATCAATGGTAATCAATAACAGAATTAATAATAGAGGTGAATTAGTTCAGTAAGAGAATAAATCAAATGAAATTCAAATTTTAATGGATGCATGTTGATCAGTGTATCAAAATGTCTAACCTAAAAAAAAGCGGTTGCATTCGAGAAATTTCACGAGAATTTTTTTTTTTGGTTTTATTTTATTTAATGATTATACAAATGAAAACTTTTTATTTTGTTATAATATTACTTTCATAACAACAATAATAATAATAATAACAGTAATGCAGTAATAATAATTATTGTTATTGCAATTTTTAGTAATTTTAATTATTAGTGATAATTTTCAAATAATTAACAAATGATTCATTTCAAATGGCTATCAATTGAAAATAATTAATCAATGATCAATTGAAAATACTATCAATTGAAAATAATTAATCAATGATATATTCAAGTTAAAAAAATCGGAAAAAAAATCTTTTTTCATTAGCTTTTAAATTTCTTCGATAATATTTCATAAACAAATTGAATAAATGATAAATTGAGAATTCATATTTTTACTTTGATATTATTATAAGTCTCTTTTTTTCTTCTTTTTTGTTGAGTTGAAGAAATTGCTTTACAGGTTTATTCTGATATTTCAACTCGTTTTCGTTTTCGTTTTTTTTTTTTTTTTTTTTTTCATCCGTAATTTTTTCTGCTTTCTGATGAAAAGAAGTGAGTTTTGAAGAAGATAGAAGAAGGCAAAAAGGATGTGTTAAAAGTATTTTGCCACAAGTGTCATTTATGGAAAGTCTCGAGATGACAATTCAGGTTCTTACTTCAAGCTTCAAGTGCATCCTCACCTCATTCGACAATCATATATATATATATATGTATTATAGATATACGTAAAACAGCTTATGTTCATTGTACAAATTTTCATGTCATCGATCGTGTCACACATTCTTTTCCAGTAATTTTAATTAATTGTTAAATTTATAAAATTTTACAATTTTTATCTTATCCTTTCGTTTTCTATTTTTTCTTCACTTTTTTCCTTTATTTCGTTTCATTCTTATTTTTTCGTTTTCATTGCTTATATTTGTATTAATTAAAAAATTTTTTAATTTTTTTAAAAAAGAAACGAATTTTTTTATTCGTTTTTAGAGCAAATAATCATTTAATGCATGCGAGTGAGAAATTAATTGAATGGAATAGGTAAATGAGTAAGTATATGAGTAAATAGATAAGTAAGTGTGCATAAGTAATTAAATGAAATGAATGAAGAAAAATTAGAAATGTACAAAAAAAAAAGTAGAAAATAAAGAAATTAACGATACATAGAAATTTATAAACATAATTAGGACATATTGTCACTGTCATCGGTAATTAATTTCTAAAAAGTAAAATGAAGAAAAAAAAACTTTACTGATTTAAAGTATTATCGCATTATTAACATTTCTATTTTGTTCTTTATTATTGGTTCTCAATTTTTATAATTGAATTAAAATTAAACCATTGATTAATTAAAACATTTGTAATACTGATTAATTGAAATATTTATAATCAAAGTATTAATTGATTTGAAATATTTTAGATCTATGGATTGGCTTAGGAAAAAATTATTTAAATGGATCAAAAAATAGATTTATCTGTAATTTCACAGCGTTTAGAATTAAAATATGTTTATAATACTAGTTCTTATCATTTATAACTGATTCTTATCATTTGTAATTGATGTGATACTTTATTAAATAAGCTGTAATTTGTTAATGATAAATAATATAACTTTATTAAATATTTTATTAAATAAGCTGTAATTTAATGATAAATAATGTATGATTTTTTTTCTTTCCTTTTAATTAAATTCATTTTTTACATTTATTAGTTTCTTTTTTCAATTTTTTAAAAATTTTTTCCAAAATTAGTTGATTTAAAAAAAAAAGGTTGGCTACATCTTTTTAAAAGAGAGAAAATTAACAATGTTTTATACCAATTAATTATTAAACAATAATTACGTTTGTTTTGTATCATCAAATCAGCTAATCAATTAGTTCTATTTATCAATTATTTGCTAAAAAGTTCGGCAAAAAGAAAAACCAGTATTGTATAATCTTATAACAGTGATAAAATACATTTCCAAAAAATTAAATTTGTAAATTTTAACCTAAAATAATTTAAAAAACATTAATTAATTCTCATTGTAAATTTTATTGACGGATAATTTCCAAAAGTAAAAATGGCATTTAAGCCTTTTCTTTCTCATTTCGTTTTCGTTTTTTTGTTGTTGTTTAAATAATACTATTATTATCATCATTATCATTATCACTATTACCATTATTATTAATATTAAATTACTGTAATTTTAAAGAAAATGAAAAAAAAAAAAAAAGGTAGGCGCAAAAGAGACAAAAAGATGATGAGAAAGAGGACCACTTCATGAACATCTGTCATTTCTTTTTTTTCTGGTTTTTTCTGGTACTGTTCATCATCAATCAATTATATTAACTAATCATACCAAAATCATTTTATGCTCTTTTTTTTTTTTGGCTTCTTATTAGGCCACTTGAACATCAAATCATTCTTGGCTTTTTTTATAGCCACTTGAAAAATTTAATCATTTTTGTCGTACCATCAATTCTTAGTTCTTTCTTCTTTTTTTTTCCATCCTTTTTCGCTACTTAAAAAAACTAAATGAATTTTTCCTTTTCTTCTTCTTTCCTTTTTTCTTTTTTAGTTTTCCCAAACTATTTTAAATTTCACGAAAAAAAAAAGAAAAAACACTAAGAAATTAATTTTTAGGCATAATATGTAGAATTATTTGTTTTCTTCCTCAATTCCTCAAATTTTGAATATTTTAAGTTGAAAAAAAAAATTAGAGTAAACATGGAAGGAAAAAATAGGATAAGATGAAAAGTGCAAGAAGAAATACCGGGATGCAAGGGTGGGCAAGAAGAAATACCGGGATACAAGGGCGGGCAAGAAGAAATGCCGGGATACAAGGGCGGGCAAGAAGAAATACCGGGATGCAAGGGTGGGCAAGAAGAAATACCGAGATGCAAGGGCGGGCAAGAAGAAATACCGAGATGCAAGGGCGGGCAAGAAGAAATACCGAGATGCAAGGGCGGGCAAGAAATACCGGGAAACAATGAGTGGAAAAAATGGGCAAGAAGAGAAGGAAAAAAAAATGCAAAAATAAAAATAATATGCATGCAAAATTTCCTCTTCCTAATTTTTTTTTTTCACTAAAATTTAAAATTACTTTTAAATAATACTAAAGGGAAGGAAGAGAGAGAGAGAGAGAGGGAAAGAGAGGAAGAGAGAAAAAGAAAAAGCACTTAAATTAAATACCGTAATCCAGTGATGATGAAAATTTTTGCTTCGTTTTAAACTTCTTTTCTTCTCAATTTTCATCACTTTTCTTCAAAAATTTTTGCTAATGAAAATTTGAAAAGAATAAAAAAATATTTGAAAAAGGCAAAGAAAAAAGAGACAAAGAGAAAAAAAAAACAATTTGGAAATGGAATATATCGTTTATAAATTTAATTTCATTTCATTAAATGATATATTTATTATCTTCCTGAAAAGGCAAAAAAAAACGATACAAAATTAAATATTTTACAAAACAATTTAAAAAGAAAGAAAAAGATTTAGCTTTGTCGTTAAGTTTTCTTTTTTATTTTTTGTTTTAAAAGCAAATATACTGAAATACTTAAATAAGTAAATAGGAAAAGAAAAAGCGTAAATATTTGAAAGTCCGGTTTTTTTTGAAATTATCCATATATGTACCGAAATTTTTGTTTTTTAAATGTAATATTAATAAAATATTTGAAAATGTGAAAGATTTTTAATTTGTTTTCTAATTTTTTCTTTTACTTACAGCATAAAATGTAAATTATTGAACTATTATGAATTTTAATTATTGTTAAATAATTCAATGAACTATACAAAATGATAAAAAATACGAAAAGTCATGAATTTTCTACTTATTTAAAATAGTTTTTAAAAAATTAAAATTTTCTCATTTCAAATTTTATAAAAATATTGTTTAACAGATTATTTTTCCTAGCTATTTTGCGCTTTTCATATTATTTTCGTTTCACTTTTAATTTTTCTTTTCTAATTATTCCATTTCTTATCAATCTTTCTTTTTTTTTCTTCCAAGAATAAAAATTTTAGATATATTTTATAAATAAATAATTTCTCCTTCCCTTTCATTCCTTTTTTTTTGTTTATATTTTTTTATGTTTTAATATACTTTGCAAACTTTTAGTATTTCATATTTTTTCATATATTTTTTTTACTACATGCACTTTTTTTTTCATATATACAGTATTTCATATTTTTTAATTTATTTTACTTTTAAATCTGTAAAATTTCATATTTCCTTTACTCACAAACTTTTAATATATTATATTTCTGCTTCCTTATATTTATTTTCAAATTCAATTAAATGCTAATTTATTCCACACATTCATAATGTTGAAAATAAATTAACAAAATGATAACTTACCGTAATTTGCCTAACAAAAAAAACCATATGTTCCAATTGTTATTGCTATTCTTCTTTTTCCTCTTATTATTATTATGATTATTATGATTATGATTATAATGATTATTACTATTATGATTACAATGATTATTAACTACCATAAATAAATCGTGCAAAAATAACACGAATATATTATTGAAAATTTATATGATGCGTAAATTTTTCTCATTCAAATTTATCTAAATACCATATTTATTAACATTTATTCATTCATTCACTCATTCCATCGATTCATTCATTCATTCATTCATTCCATCGATTCATTCTTTCATTCATTCACGATTGCTTTTACAGCATTTTTAATTGCTCCACTTCACATCACTTCAAATTAACAATGAATCAATTGTTCTCACATATTTCATCATTTATTTGTTCATCTTTTATGTTTCTCTTTTATATTGTCATTTAATTCATTTCATTCAATTTGTTTGATCACAAATATTTCAACTTTCCATAAAAAGTTAAATTTATAATTTGAACTTTTTTTTTTTAAAACATCAATTTACTTTTGTAAACAATGAAAAGAAAAGAACGAGAGAGAGAAAGAAAGAAAAAGATTTTTTTTTTCATTTTTTTTTTTGATTTTTCATTTAAAAATAAGAAAAAAAAATTTTTAAAATGAAGCATTTTATTAAATTTATAATGAAATTTATATTTATATGCTATGTGAATAATGAAAGGAAAGAAAAAAAAAGAAAGGAAAGCAACGGAAGAATAAAATATTTTCAATTTGTGAAAATTTTCGCTTTTGTTTGCTATTAATAATAAACTTTAAAATAATACTATTTTAAATGGAATATTTTTTGAAATATCAATTGAAATTTAGTGATTGAGCATTGTCAAAATTTGTTTTTTAAAAAACAATAAAAATTTCTTTTCTAAAATATATCAGAAGTTTATCATTACAAGTATTGCATATTCCACTAAAATTAGCATCATTAGCTAATATCAAAAAAAAGAGAAGAAAAAATAAAATTAAGTATAAATGCATTTGTCGACAACAAAAAAAAAAAGTGATAAGATGATAGCGATAAATTTCACTGATAATAGGATAAATTTCAAAAAAATACAGCTAAAAAATAAATTAATTCATTGATGTCAAGATGAAAGAGCTAAAAAAGACATTACACTGTTAATTTTTTAAATCAATAGTACAAAAGAAAAAAACTTATCTTTGAAAATAAAAAATACTTTTTAAAAAAAAAAAGACATTTTTTGCTAATTAATTTCATTTTGTTCGTTTTCTAGTGATAAGATAAATGATAAAATGTTGTCATAAATGTTTATCAATATTTGAGCAAAATTTGCAATATATAATAAATTAAGCTAAACAACATTAATTAATTTAAGCATCTAAAATTCATATTTTGCTGAATGCTATGAGAATGTCCATCTGTGTGTCCATTAATGAAATGGACAATTGTTGGCTATTGATATTAGATGAGATGTAATAAGGTCATCAGTAAGGCGGCACTTTATAAAATTAGTCACCGAAAGAAGAAGTAATTTGAACCACTTTAAGGATACCAAAGGTTAAAGGTTGATTTAGAAGTGGCACCGAATGAATAAGCAAAATGATTTATGCATGACAAATAAGAAATAAGTATGATTTGTTTCGATGCTGGTAATTAACCATCATTTGTTTAATTTTAAAATGACTAAAATATATTATAAAAAAATTAGAAAAATTTTTTTTATTACTACAATTATATATTTTGTTATTATATATAAATACATTTTCATTATTTTAACTTATCTATTAATTAATTATTGTTAGTTATTCGTTTTTCTTTGACTTGATTTTTTTTTAATTTTTATTAATTATATTAATTATTCTTGGTTTCTAATTTCCATATCATTCATTTTATTCATTCAGTTTTTTTTCTCTCTTTTTAATCTTTAATTCGGTAAACTAAAATATAAAAGTATGATATTTCTGCTTTTAACATAAAATCATAAATTTAATGTAAAAATAAAAAAAAATCAATTTGTTCTAATTTATATAATTTATATGAGTTTGCATTTATATTTCTTAATTAAATAAAATCTGTAAACTTTACGATTTAAAAATCTTTTATATTGAAGAAAAAAGTTTATGACACATAGAAAAGTTAAAGTATATAGCAGTCAACATGTGAAGAGAGAGAGAGAGAGAGATCAATTTACTAATTGAATTACACGATTATAATCAACACTAATTAGCTAATTACGATGACGTAATTTGGTAAACAAATTCGCAGCATTTGTCCAAAAACTTTGAATGCACAATGTGACTAATTTTTTGCAGTGTTAAACAATTGCTATTAATAATTAAACTATTATTATTATGCTATTCCAATATTCTTCCAACAAAACATACTATTAAATCATTCTAGCAGTAAACAAATCTAAAATTTAAGGATGAAAAAGAAATTATTTGTTCGAAAAATTCTTGATGCATATAAATATATATTGAAAAATATAATTTTAAAAAAGTTTAGGCTAAAAAAATAAAACGATGATAAGATAAGGAAATAAAATATTTCCTGTAACTATAAAATTTATTCTTATATAATTCTAGTATATAAAATCTAATTTGCATCAAATTAAATTTCTGGATTTATTTATCAAAGTTTATATGTGTTAATTAAATTTTTTAAGTTTTAATATATATATATGTAAATATATGTCTGTGAGATTGTAAACTTATTTTTCTTCTGTGGTTTTCTTTTCGTTGAAATTTGCAACTAAGTAAATAGTTAAAAGGTAAGCACTTCACTTCTCAAACTTTGTCATGTTGATCAGATCAGATCAGATGAGGTAAAGTGGAAGAATGTTTGGCGGAAAATGACGAAAATGATATACACTTTTGCGGTAATTTGCTAATCTTTTCAGTAAATAAAACATAAACCATATTGGGCCAATTAAATGCTCAATAAACAATTTCCAATAACCGTTACTAAGTACTGAACAATAATTCCTTTTATCTTAATCTAATTTATAGAAATATCGTAGAGAAACTAAAAAAAAAAAGAAAATGCCGCATTTGACGGAAAAATTAGTAACATTTAATACTGTAAATGAGGCAAATTAATACCACTTTATTTATTTATTTACTTTTTTTTTTGAAGTAATTCTAATTATGCTTTCACTAATTATTTAATTATTTTGATATCTCCGTACAAAAAATTTCATTATAAATAATTATAGTGCAAAAATAAAATCTTATTATTATTGCTATTAACATCATTACCATTAATTATTTTTATGAAATTTTTAGATAATATAAATTTAATTAAATATATTGTATTTTAAATTAATATGAAAATGAATAAAGCAAAATTGACAAAATTTCTTCCATTCAATCACAATTTTCATTTATCTTTTTTTAGTAATTAATTGACAATGAATGGAGTAGAATTTTTAGATAAGTTATTTTGATTAATCAATCAATTATTTATTAATTCTAGCAAAATATAAACATAACAGAAATAAATTTTAAGTCTAATCAGTAGCGTTTGAAAATAAAATTTTAATGAAAATTTCATGAAGTTATAATTGTTAAATCCGGTTGACTTCTTTTTCATTCTTTCTGCTTCATTCTCACCGAGATTAAATGCT